TGGAGATGATCTGATCAATTATCGTGATTGAAGCAACTTTACTGGGATAACGTATGTAACTAATCTTGGAAAGTTCATGGTATGATGAGGCGGCTTTTTTGCCAAACTCACTTCTCAGGGGAGTAACTACAGGTAATTTCATCAGCTGATCAAGGAATTATCAACACACCTACCAAAAGCTGCAACAGATATATATATTTACTATTAATACTATGAAAGTAAGTAAAGTCTGTCATTAGCCAATACATCTCCGGTTTCAAAGGCATGAAACGACCGAGGATATTTTTTTATCCCCCCTGGATAGGATGCCAGTCCATTGCAGGTTACTTCCCAGCTAATATCGGTACCCATTTATACTCCTGGGTGGAGAGAGGCAAGTGGGGGTGAAGTGGCTTGCCCAAGGACACACATATAACCGGCAACTAGATTCGGACCCCTGACCCTCTGATCATGAGTCACAAACCTTAACCATATTAATGCTTAAAAAAAATTAAAATCCCATAGACCTTATAAATAGTTAATGCGATGCCCGCTGCCATGTACCAATACATCAGATTCGAGCCAGCCAACCGATCCCATTAGCTCAGTGGTCAAGTGGTAAAACATCTGCACTAGAAAGCAGGAGGTTGTGGGTTCGAGTCCCAACCGAGTGATTTTTTCCAACTTTTACTCAGGAGGTAACACACTGAGTATTCAGTGTTTATACATCAATGAAGGGCAAAACCTGATTTGACATACATTGTATTAATACTATGATCCACTAGTTTATCTGACCCACAAATACTAAAAATGGGCCTGATATGGTTGGTATGAGATCTGAGGAGTGTTGGCTTTGCAATGTTTTATCAACCACCCTTTGCCTCAACCATACCGGTATGTAATCTCTACCTACCTTTTGTGTTAGCAGTAACTCTGTGTTGTGCATTCCTCCGTGTTCTGTTGTTCTGTGGTCTGCTTGGCACTCTGGCTTTTAAACCCCAATATTTCACCCTCTGGAAAAAAAAAACCAACAGGCAAGTAAGAAGAAAACATGAGACGTCTTGGAAATTACAGGTTACACCTTCATATACCTTTGAAATCTGATGGACAGTGTGTGCAGATATATAATTGTTTGCCAGAATAAAATGCAATGTTCAAAGTTGGGTCAAAAGTCTTCTAATGCCCGACTGTAATTCATTGTAATAAACCAGTTCTGTATTTCAATGACCTGAGGTCATTTGGGATAACATTGCTGACACGATGTTAGGCGATGTTACGCGCACGACCACTCTGGTGGTAATTTACACACAAGCGTCGCGCACCCCCGCATTCATGCGCCTTTGATCGTTCTACTATCCCGAATGACCGGTGACCCATATCGTTGTGCACATAAGCAGTTGAAATACCGAACTGGCTTATCCATGGCATTCCTTGAGTTGTTTGCTTGTTTGGAAAAGGATGAGACATTTAGGACAACTTGAAGAACTGTTGACACTTAAAATACCCAATACAAGGGAACTTGACTAGGTTTACTCTTAATAATGTTTAAATGGGGGCAGTTCCGCAGTGTCAGACGTACATTTTGGGCAATTCAACAGTGTATGTAATTGTAGTTATAATCACGGGGTAGATTTTAATTCTGATAAAACATATCAGTTAGTCACTAGTTACTTTGATGAGTCAAAGAAGAAATTATTCATCCAACTTTGTTGCTGTAGTAGAAATTGGCTCAAAACACCGGACGTACTCAGACAAATCAATTTTTTGTATTGTCATCAATTGATTTTCCATTTACAAGTAACAGCCAAACTGTTGAACTTGTTAGGGAATGTACAACATTTGCTTTTGCTGCAATGTTCAAAATAAGTGCATCTGGGGGATTAGTGTGCTATAAAAAATATTGTTAAAGGGCATGTACAACATTTGCTTTTGCTGCAATAATCAGAAATAATGGATTTGGAGGATTAGTATGTTTTAGCAAATATTGTTAAAATGACTTGTTTCACGTTTTGGGCTTGTAGATGTTGGAAAAACCAAGAAAACCATTCATGTTCTTGTAGTCTGGTTCACAGACCCCATTTAAGATGAAACGGAGAATTTATAGACTTTGGGGGATTGTAAGATCAGAGAGGCAGTCTAGTAGGCTTGTACCCCTTCAAAGGTGTGTAATCAATTGCACAGAAAACACAGAATAACTAATTATGAAAAATTAGGAGTAGTTTTAAAAAAAAAACAGTTTTCTCCATTGCTGGTCGGCCGACCAGCGTTGGAAAAATACCATTTTTTTTTTTTAAATGTCAGCACACCAGGAGCCACGATTTTACAGGATGCTTTAGGCTGTCATCCCCTAACAATCCACTAAGGTATTTAGTGATACTTTGTTCATATCGTTTTGTAATATTTGCCAATGTTGTATCTTCCCTTTAAACTGACCTATTTCACGTTTTGGGTTCGGAAATGCCAGAAAATCTAAGAAATCCAACCATGTTCTTGTGGTCTGGTGACATGAGACGTAAGATGAGACGTAGCACTTTGTACACTTTGAGGAAGTTAGGTCAGAGAATCAGTCTAGCAGGCTTGTACCCCTACACAGATGCGTAATTGATTGCAAAGAAAATGCGGAATGACTAAATATGAATTTTACAGGATGCTTTAGACTGTCATTCACTGACAGTCCAGTAATATATTTCGTCATAATTTGATCATTTCGTTTTTTGATGTTTGCAATGATGTTGTATCTTCCCTTTTAAATAAACTACATGTCAATAAAATACAGATAATATGCTTCAAATTGATATGTATATTTCTTTTGTGGCATTTTGGCCATTAAGAATTGTTGGCATTCAGGTTTATAATTCTGTAGAATTGCCCATGGATGGGCGAGGGAATTGATTAACAAATTTTGGCCAAGGACATTGACAAATATGAGTCTGCAGCCCCGTTGGTAGAGTTGCCAGTGCGGTGTTACACACTGACCTGCATGTGGATGTCTCTTTTGTGGGTGTTTCTGTGTGACAATTGCCCGCGTTGATGGTTCTTTGTGGAAGTATGTCACTTCAGGACCTGATGGGCTTGATAATGATAACAGATGCTGGATTCTGTCAAGTACAAATCAAATCATTGGAAAAGTTCAAGTTAGTACACCTTTGGTAAATCCAAACTAACAGGGTTTGTTTACTTCCATATCACATTATACGTGTAACTGATTGTACATGTGGGGTATTAAAGCAGCACCAACATTCATACATGTTCATGAATGCATCATCTCTAAACATACTTTTGCACTAGTGTGGAACAAATTGCAATTGCTTAGTCTAGACAAGGGTTGTGCAAAATATACCGAATATCCAAATATTTGATCATCCACCGAATATCCGAATAGCATTTTATCAAATTGAATTGTTTTTTTAATGTGAGCAATGACAAAAAACCGTCCATGATGTGATTTTATGAGTTTAAGTTGAGAGATTTGATTTGTTTAGTCAAACGCCACACTTTACGCAGATGGTTTGAGAGTTTTCATGAGGAATGTAAGCCCTAATGTGGATCTTCAATATCTGCCAAATGCCAGGTTGTCAGCTAGCTCAAAATCTATATCGATACATTCCAAATTATTTCAATGTCATTGGATGATTTTTTTGTTCAAATTCAAGTTCCAATATTCAAAGACTAAATTATTGGAAAAATGCACAACATTAATAGAGACCTGTTTTGTGAAGCACACCTAGAGAGAACTTGAAGCTCTACCCAGCCCTGCAAACAATGACCTGTACTCTGCCCGCAAGGTTGTCAGTCCGTCATTGCCAATCAAAGAATCCTCCCCAACAGTCACCATCCATCTGCACAACATACAGATTACAGGTACAATGTATATATACATGTACATGGATTCAATTCAGCCTCAGGACAGGCAGTAGCACTGCTATTGTGACAAGGTTTTTGCAGTCGCTTTGCCTACCAACCTCTTTGTCGACAACCACTTCAACGATTTGCTACTTCACCGAATAACCACTTCGCCTACTTGCCACTCCGTCGAATTACCACTTCGCTGAATGACCACTTCGCCGAATTGCACGCAAACGCACGTACTAACAAGTTTGTTATGGTTTAAATCAAGGATTTTCTAATGTTTCTCTTCCCTTTCCTTTGTTTATACTCTGAACATTTTTGCATCTGCTCTCATTGGTTTAGTACACGTTTTCTAATCGAACTCGTCTTCCATTTACAATTCATTGATGACGTTGCATGTGTGTGTCCTTGATTTACACCATAAAGAAATGCCTACAGACACGTACATGTATGTATGGAGCCATAAAAATGAGCTACATGAAAAACTTGGGGTTGTTTTACCCCTTCCTATCCAAACCCATATGAGATTCAACTTTTTTCATTCTATAGTCAACTTGAAACAGTACTGAAGGGGATGAAGATTTAAAAAGAAAAAAAAAAAAAGTTTCTGAGAATTAACTGTGTGCGACCAAAAACATGGTCACCGTGTACGGACAGTCAATGATTAATATATTTTATAAATTCCACTTCTTCACTTTCAAAGTGAATTGAGAGGACAATGTCACATAAACCTAGTAATAGAAGACACAACAAGTATGAAAACCACTTAATATTAAGTACCAGTCAGCTGTTATAATTACCATGAGTTTGTGCATGCGAGCATAATGTGTTAGCAAATACTTTCGGCGAAGTGGTAATTGGGCAAAGCAGTAATTTGGCTAAGTGGTAATTTGGCTGGTTTCGATCCAACTCGGACCCAAACCAAGTCGGACCCAAGCCAACTCGGACCCAGGCCAACTCGGACCCACTACCAACTCGGACCCACGCCAACTCAATCGGACCCACTACCAACTCGGATCCACAACCAACTCGGACCCACTACCAACTCGGACCCATGCATGACCAACTCGGACTCATCTTTTACAATCATTTGACAGCGTTTACAATTATTTGACAATTTCATAAAGTTTGTCCACTTATCATCTGTTAATACAGTGATGTTTTTAAGTATAAACAGTCACCATCCATCTGCACAACATACAGATTACAGGTACATGTACATGGATTCAATTCAGCCTCAGGACAGGCAGTAGCACTGCTATTGTGACAAGGTTTTTGCAGTCGCTTTGCCTACCAACCTCTTTGTCGACAACCACTTCAACGATTTGCTACTTCACCGAATAACCACTTCGCCTACTTGCCACTCCGTCGAATTACCACTTCGCTGAATGACCACTTCGCCGAATTGCACGCAAACGCACGTACTAACAAGTTTGTTATGGTGTAAATCAAGGATTTTCTAATGTTTCTCTTCCCTTTCCTTTGTTTATACTCTGAACATTTTTGCATCTGCTCTCATTGGTTTAGTACACGTTTTCTAATCAAACTCGTCTTCCATTTACAATTCACTGATGATGTTGCATGTGTGTGTCCTTGATTTACACCATAAAGAAATGCCTACAGACACGTACATGTATGTATGGAGCCATAAAAACGAGCTACATGAAAAACTTGGGGTTGTTTTACCCCTTCCTATCCAAACCCATATGAGATTCAACTTTTTTCATTCTATAGTCAACTTGAAACAGTACTGAAGGGGATGAAGATTTAAAAAGAAAAAAAAAAAGTTTCAGAATTAACTGTGTGCGACCAAAAACATGGTCACCGTGTACGGACAGTCAATGATTAATATATTTTATAAATTCCACTTCTGCACTTTCAAAGTGAATTGAGAGGACAATGTCACATAAACCTAGTAATAGAAGACACAACAAGTATGAAAACCACTTAATATTAAGTACCAGTCAGCTGTTATAATTACCATGAGTTTGTGCATGCGAGCATAATGTGTTAGCAAATACTTTCGGCGAAGTGGTAATTGGGCAAAGCAGTAATTTGGCTAAGTGGTAATTTGGCTGGTTTCGATCCAACTCGGACCCAAACCAAGTCGGACCCAAGCCAACTCGGACCCAGGCCAACTCGGACCCACTACCAACTCGGACCCACGCCAACTCAATCGGACCCACTACCAACTCGGATCCACAACCAACTCGGACCCACTACCAACTCAGACCCATGCATGACCAACTCGGACTTTTACAATTATTTGACAATTTCATAAAGTTTGTCCACTTATCATCTGTTAATACAGTGATGCTTTTAAGTATAAATTTTCATTGTAGTTGTCAGGTAAAATATCTGTATTGCAGCAGTTTGTCGTCGTAAAGCGCATTGAAATGCTTTTTTGAAATGCGCTTTAAAAGTGTAATTAATTATTTATTTTTATTATTTGTTTCCATTGAAACATATTGCGCTTTAACCAAAAGTAAAATTTAAAATTAACGTTTAACCAATTATTCATTTTCATATTTGACATCGTTCACGCCATCTTGCTCAATTTAACAGCAATTCATTTCATTTTTAATTCAAACCACATAAATTCAAAACAGATCTTCATAGAAAAATAAAATTGGAAAGTATGACATTGAAACATAAACACTTTCAAACATGACACGATTAATTCAATAAATATAAGTAAACATTATAAGTCATTCAATAAAATAAATAAAGTATAAAACAAAGTCTATTCTAATTTCTACATGTACATTTGTATATGTATTTAACAAAAAAAAACACATAAACACCATTGCATACACTGCAAGAAAAACGAAGGTTCCATATTGAACAAAAAAGGTTAATCAAAAAAGTAAGTTACACAGATTCGTTAAAAAACCCACAAAACTCAAAGCCAGCATGTGAACTAAAAAAAAGATCAACTTATTAAATACCCTACAATTATGAAATGTCAATCATCAAAAAGGAGTATTGGAGCTCTGGGAAGATTATCCTTCAAGGCCTTACAGGTACATTAGCTGTCTGTATGTTCGACTATGATGTTCCATGGGGGAAAAAAGTTAATCAAAAAAGTATAAAAAGTTAAACAGATTCGTAAAAAAAAAAAAAAATTAAACAAACTAACAATTACATGAAATGAAAGGTCTACATGTATTTCAAATTAATAACTTCCTCACTGAACAACATTTTTGTGACATATTGAAATCCTTCATTGAGTGTGATTTAATTTGGTTTATATTATTTGCAGGGTTGTAGTTGAGACCGCATAGTCCGAGACCGAGACCGAGACCAGCCCCTTCAAGGCGGAGACCAATATGGTCCGAGACCGAGACCGAGACCAAGACCGCTGATAATAAATAACAATAGTCGAAATAAAAAAACAAGACACGTTATTATAGTTGAAACTTGTAACCTTTCTATTCACAAAGATTACAGACCAAAATTTTGACCAGTGGCAGTGTTGACAAATTGATACATGACACGTTACTTGAGCAAAAAGTAGTTATACTTAAGAAATATAATGGGCTGCACCCAATCTTGACAAAAGTAAAAGTTAAAGGTAGATGTTTCATCTGTTATAGGAACTCGGATCCTAAACTCCACAGTCACCCCTTGGTTTCAGCTATGACTTCTAACGGATATTTAAAGATGCAATTTTAATTTTACATTGTGCCTCTTTTTTTCCTTAAATAAATATAGGACTTAACTTCTAACAAGACTTGTGTGCATGTACTTGATTTTAAAAAATGGGAGCTAGAAAATGTTGAATCAATTTTTAAATTTCTGTCATAGAATGTGGACTTGTACATGTAGACCCACAAGTTGTGAGGTGGTAGCCAGTATGTGCCAGATATGGATTTTTAATTTTTTTCTGAACGGGATTTTAATTTTTGAGGAATAATGGGGTACTTCAAACTGAGCAGCCAGAAAATGGGGTCTCATCATACACTCTCATGGCAACAGTGAGTGGTAACTGGTAAGAGTGTGTGAGTTCAATGCTGGAAAATCAGGTTGAAATATTTACTTTTTCTTCAAAATACTGTCCCAAATTAAAGAGATCATTGTGTGGGGTCGAAAATATATAACTAATTTGAAGCACCTCATTTATTATCAGAATACAAAATGCAAGTGATTACGCCCACAGGGGTGGGCTAAACTACACAATCCCCAAAAATGGTTGACCCTTATTGTATAAATTGTTAGAAGTTTATACTTTGCTTTATGTGCCCGACTCAACAGATAAATGCCGAACTTGTTCCAAATCGTTCAGTGACTGGAACTGCTGCAGCTTTACATGTACTTTGGAGACTTTCCAACGTGCTGTCAAGTCCAAACCGACCGCGATATATAACAAGCTTGATCTACGGGCTAGCAAATGTTTTAACTATTAATTGTACTGAACGAAGTAAACAAAAAGTAATCGATCAAGCTGTAAAAGCTACATATTGCCGGTCTCAACCCGAGACGAGCCAAAATATCGAGACCAAAGGGGACCTAGCCCCATAAATGTGGCCTATTTACTGGACTGCCTCCGTAAACATAGGCCACACATCCACATGTACAAAAATCTTGATTTTCACATTTAGGCTTAGTTTGTAGGTTTTTTTTGCTTTAGAAGCATACTCACCCTCTTTACAGGCTAATCAGAAAGTGCTGCCTTTTTCAGATGTCTAATTTTTGTGAAATTTCATTTTGAAATTTTGATACACAAACGTGTAAAAATGAATCTGGAAATTTCACGAAAAATATACATCTGAAAAAGGCAGCACTTTCTGATTAGCCTATAAAGAGGGTGAGTATGCTTCTAAAGCAAAAAAACCCTACAAACTAAGCCTAAATGTGAAAATCAAAATTTGGCTCCGTCGACACGATTTTTGTACATGTGGATGTGTGGCCTATGTTTACGGAGGCAGTCCAGTAAATAGGCCACATTTATGGGGCTAAAGGGGACCAAGACCGAGACCAAGACCGAGACCACAGCTTCTGAGACCGAGACCAAGACCAGCAAAAAGTGGTCTCGAGACCGGTCTCGAGACCTACAACACTGATTATTTGGCACACACCCACAAAAAGCAGATGAAAAAGGAAAACATTGCACATATCCATTTCTTCATGTGAATGAGTAATAAGAGTGCAAAATCAATGTAGTATAATCAAACAACAAAACTAAAAGCCCCATTCTGACCAATATAATTACCGAATATCTTCACTATATAAGCACTATTAAGATGACCTACATGTATAAATATAATCTCTGAAACTAATGATTAAGTCATTGTTGGGTCTGAGTTGGTCGTGCTTGGGTCCGAGTTGGTAGTGGGTCCGAGTTGGTCTTGGGTCCGAGTTGGTAGTGGGTCCGAGTTGGTAGTGGGTCCGAGTTGGCGTGGGTCCGACTTGGCATGGGTCCGACTTGGTTTGGGTCCGAGTTGACCTGATGCCATTTGGCTAAGTGGTTATTCGGCGAAGTGGTAATTCAGCAAAGTGACCAACACCCGTGACAAGCTCAACACACTAATCCAGATCAGCTATTCACTATGATCCATGCAGTGCAGAACATTAGCTGAGAGCCTTAGTCAAGACTTAAAACATCTTCATCAGACAATCCCACGCACCTTTTTCTATCTTCCAGTTCTTGTATCTTCAGGCGGTCATTTTCAGCAAAGAGCCTTAAGACATGATCTCTCTCCTGGAAGAGATAAACCTGCATGTCACTCAGGGCCTTCTGGAGCTCAGCGATTTCTTCCTCACGTTGGCGTAACTCCCATTCAAGCTTATGCTAAACAACAAAGAAAGGGACAAGTATTGTTGTGCTACATGTGACTATGATTTGCAAGTTTATGAGTTGTTCCATTGGAGTAGTGGTAATTTGTACATGTACACACACTGACATAATAATAACCAGAGAAATTTGAAGAAAAAAAACAGTATTGTGATTGAAAACATTGGACTATTATTCAAAGTGTTTATTTGAAATCTTATATTTCCCTTTACTTCCTTAATCCAATAACACTTTTACAAAAAGTAACAAATGATGTCACTGTAAAACCTGGTCTTGAAATTGGTTTTAAAAAAACCCATTTTCTAACATCTAAGGGGAAAAGATACTATAAAGACCAGGGACAACATTACCCATGCAACTACATGTACGGGGTCTTGACTGATTGATAGATTGCTGTCGTCTTGGATATGTGTCAGAGCAAAACGGGGAATTTTTGTGGGTCATTTTTGGCAGAGTTGGGACAAACTTGACCTATTTAGTTTGTGTACATGTAGGTTACTCAGTATGTAAAGAATGTAAAGAAGCGGAGGCTGATTCCAGAAGTAATGTCATAGATAGAGGGCAGGCTTTTGATTTTTTAAGGGAAATTTGGGGGTAAAATGATGATGACAGAACGGCGACAACAAGCTTCCCAAAAATAAAGATGGCAATCACCACGCAATGTACCGTGCGATCATGTACCATGAGTCTGAGCATGCATTGCGCGCTGAATCGCAAGGCCCAAACAGCACAGTAAATTTTAGTCCAAAATTTGGGACTCTCAATACTGTGTATGAGAGTCCCAAAACTTAAGGTATCCATATCGTGCAAAAGTTTGTGCTGCATAATAAAACCAGTGTGAATCAAATTTGCAAGCTTCTTACTCACTACAGTTTCTTCAATAATCCCCGAAACTTCTGCCTCGCAAAGTTGCTGTTGTGAGCATTGCATCACCAAAAATTCAGCTTTTAATTCTAATTTTGCAGAGAGTTATCGAAATCCTAGCCCGACTGCGTCTGGCCGTACAGTACTATCGCAAGCTCTGTAGTACGGCCAGACGCCCAATGCTTCCACAGAGACTGAATTTTTTTGGCCGCTGATGTAGCGATTTTGCTACAGATTTCGATCAAGATTATCTTTTCATCCAGGACACAAATTCCAAAGTTAAGGTTCTTAGTCGTAGAGCAACTCATACCTTTTCGAAAAAACGTTCTTTTGTCTCAATATTTTCATCCATCTGGCCAAAAGCCGACTTTTCAGTCAT